TTAGGGTTTAGGGCTTAGGGCCCTTTAAGGCCCCTTTTTGGTGGGTCTAAGGTCGCCGCAGGAGCAGCGCTCGGAGTTCCGCCCCGAAGGGCGAAGCGAAGTTCGCGGCCTCGACGGCTTTGCGCAAGGCCTGGGCTTCAGCGCTCGGGCTTCAGGCTGCCGTGTTTAGGGGCTTCTGGGTTTAGGGTTTAGGGTTCAGGGCTTTAGGGTTTTAGGGTTTAGGGTTTTGGGGTTTAGGGCTTTAGGGCTTAGGGTTTGGGGTCTGGGTTTTAGAGTGTAGGGTGTAGGGTTTTCGGGTTTAGGTAGGGTTCGGGGTTTAGGGTTTAGGATTCGGGCTGGGCAGCGATCTGCGGTCTCTTGTCGGTTCTAGTTGGTTGTTCAAGCTCTTGCGGCTGAGAAGATTTCTTATGGGAGGTTTCTCAAGGTTCTTATGCTGGCAGATGGTCTGGGCTTGGGGCACTTGCTGTAAGACTTGCGGCTAGTTAAGGCTTAAGATGATGATTCAGCAAGTGTGCTTTCTGTTTAGGCTTTGGGCGCCGGTTTCGGAATTCAATCCTCAAAGCCACCAAACTCCACCCTTTCCCCTCAGCCCGAGCCGTCCCCCCCCCATCGCCCCACCCTAAGGCCCCACCCATGAACGACCGGAAGCCTCCTTAACCCTGAGGCTCCTGAACCCCTTGCCCCCTAAACGGTCCTGATCGTAGCGTAGACCCCTGATTCATCACATCCCCCCAACTGCAAAAGGCTTCCAACATGTACGCCCTGAAGGAGAAGGGTGTCAGGTAGTAATCAAGGGTTAAGCCCTAAACCCTAAACCCTCAACCCCCCAACCCCTAAACCCTCAACCCTACAACCCCACAAAACCCCAAACCCTCAACCCTGCAAAACCCTACGAAGGCTAAACCCTCAACTCTACCAAAAGCCCCTGAAACCCTACAAAACCCCCAAAACCTACACCCTGAACCCAACAAACCCCCAAACCCTAAACCCTCAACCCTTCAAAACCCTCCCAAAAACCTATTCTAACTAATTATGAAGGCGCCTAAACCCCAAACCCTAAACCCTCAACCCTAAACCCTTACAGTAGCCCCTATTCGCTACAACCCGGCCCCGGCCTCCTCTCTGCCCTCCTCAGCCAGGGCTGTGGATAGAAGGAGCCCTCCGTCTCCCGCCTTGTAGGAGGTTTTAGGCTTAGGGTTTAAAGTTTCTTTAAATGAGGGTCTAGGCTTTAGGAGCTTAGGGTTTAGGGTTTGGGCTTTAGGGTTTAGGGTTTTAGGGTTTCGAGGTTCGGGGTTTTAGGCTTAGGGTTTAGGGTTTCTTTAAATGAGGGTCTAGGCTTTAGGGGTTTAGGTTTTCGGGTTAGGGTTTTACGGTTTAGGGTTTAGGGGTTTAGGGTTTACGGTTTCTCACCAAATCCATCACCACCTCCAGCGAAAATGCAATGGCAAGCCTAAGACTCTAACCCTAAACCCTAAACCCCTAAACCCCAAATTCCTAAACCCTAAACCCCAAAACCCGAAACCCTAAATCCTAAACCCCTAAAGCCTAAACCCGAATTTACAGAAACCCTAAACCCTAAAACCCGAAAGCCTAAACTCTAAACCCTAAGCCCCAAACCCCTAAACCCTGAACCCTAAAGGCCTAAAGCCTAAACCCTCATTTTAAGAAACCCTAAACCCTAAACCCCAAACCCCGAAACCCTAAACCCTAAACCCCAAACCCTTAAGCCCTAAACCCTAAACCCCGAAAGCCTAGACCCTCATTTAAAGAACCTTTGATCCTACAACCAACTAGAAGACTCCAAGCCCGAAAGCACAAGTCCAGTACTTGTACGATGTTTTTGTTAATACCGGGCATACATACTAGTACTGCTACTGCTATTAATCTTAAACATGATGGTGTTATGTACAAGTCTAGAATTGTTCGGACATCATCCCCGTAGAATTCCGACACATTTTTACTATACAATGCCTCGAAAGCCTGTTGTATTAAGGCTCCCACATTTGCTTGGTAAAACCTCTCCAAAAACTTCTAAACCGTTCTGAAACCCCGTGTCAGCAAGATCCAAGACCCCATAACACCACCATCCAAACAGAATCCGACAAACACCCCACAAAGCGCGCCCTAAACTCTAAACCCTTCACCCTAAAACCCGGTTTAGGGTTTAGGGTTTAGTGCACTTCCTTAGGCCCTGGCCTTCGCCTCCGCCAACTCCTGAGCCGTCCGGAGGGCTTCCCTCTGCGAGAAGTGTACGACGTACACTGGAAACCTTAGGGTGTCAGGGTGTAGGGGCTCAGGGATTTAGGGTTTATTTGGGGATGAAGGTTTAGGGTTCAGG